AACACTCTATTCCAAAAGGTCTGCATCTTCTTCAGCATCGTTGCGGACGGCTCAAGTACCTCCACTCCATACAACATGGTCGGTAACAATATCCCCTTCGCCAGCCTCCTTGCTCCATATGGCGAGAGTCCTTTGCCCGGCATCGATAGTCTTCGAATCCTCCAGAAAGCCGCTTGGGCCAGCAACAACCTCTTCGTAAAGTGTGTAGACGTCTCCCCGTTATCCGCCAGCCAGTATCCCAGCCACTTCACCACTGTCCCAGCCGGTTGAACCCCGTGCGCCTGTAGCGTGATCTCATCCTGTGCCCGCGGTCCCTGTTGTCTCCGCGTGCGCCAGTGCATCATTTCAGTCTTTGCAATACTAAAAGAAAGGCCCAGGCCCTGGGCCACCGCCATGACCCGCTGCCCCCTTTCTTCCAGCATCCTCGCGTTTCGATACCAAGAGGTGGACGCCACAGTGATTTGAAAATCGTCCACGTAGGATGACGTGAAGGTGTCCGCCGTGTCGAAATCTATGTGCAGTGGACGCACATAAACTACAAACAGTAGCGGCGATAATGGTGAGCCTTGTGGTATGCCGAGGTCAACCCTGTTACTCCGCCTAGGACTGCCCGGATATGCCAATGTGATTTCTCGCGTCGAGATGAAGTCGCGAATCCAATCCGTGAGGTACTCGGGGATCTTCTCGTTCCGTTCCAGACGCTGCATCAGCTTTCTATGGTCGACATTGTCGAAGCCGCCTTTCACGTCCATGAAGACCGTTGAGACCTTCTTTCCCGCAAACTGCGCCTCTCTAATCCAGTGTTGTAGCGACATCACTGCATCCGCCGTAGACCTCTGCGGCAAGCTGCCGGTCTGGTTGATGCAGTACATCCCGCTCTTGTAAGCTACCTTCATTAGCCTCGCATTCACTACCCTCTCGGCTATCTTAGAGAAGGTTTGCATAAGCGCAATGACTCTAAAGCTTGCGCACTCCGTATAGTTGCTCTTGTTTGGCTTCGGTAAGATCACCCCGATCGACTCCTTGAGCATCGGCGGGTGTATGCCCCACTCCAGCATATCTTCCACT